TGCCCCTAACTAGTGATGGGACACCTAGACAAAAAAAATAAAACAAGTTTAGGCCCAATAACTAAGAACTTAAGACACAAATATGACTAACATAAACACTAAACCAGCCGAACCAACACTAATGTTATTGATGATTTAACAAAGATGGTTATGGAAGGCAGTGTTTCAAAAGTACATTTCTTTCAAGATCCTTTTCTAGTTCTGTGTGTGGCCTCTACTCTACAGTCCAAGCATATAGCTGTGGGAAGTCCTACTCCTTTTGTAATTGGGGCATATCAACTTTTCATCCTCAAGTTCTTCAAAACTCAAGGACGAGTTCTTTTGAACCGGGGGAGAATGATGCAGGAGCTGAAGAGTCAAAAATGGACTTTTATGAAATTTTATGTTTTTCTATATTTTTGGATAGTAGGGGTATTTTTGTCATTTTGCAATTTTTGTGGGGTCCAATGATGGGGTTTAATTTTTCTAGTTATGGTTTGTTTATGTTTAAAATTTCAGTCATTGCATAAATAGGATTGGAGTTATTAAGTCTTCTTTGAATTGAAATAGGATATGACAACTTAGTTTAAGTCCTACTAGGATTATTGAGTCCAACAGTTTGACTCCTAGGACTATAAGACTATTATGAGTCTAAAAGTTTGACTCCTAGGATTATTACGAGTCTAGAGTCTATATAAATATATATATAGAGAGAGAGAGAGATGGACGTTTTACACAAAGGCAATGAAATATGAGTTTTTTTCAGCTTATGCTAACTAGGGCGAGTGATTCCCATGCCCTAGAGTGATTTTAAGCACCCTGTGAGTGATTCCAGGTATTTTCTCTCTTCTTTCTATCCCTATTTTCTCTCTTATTCCTTCAAGAAGCCATTACAGCCATCAATAGCCATAAAATTCTGATCAAAGAAGACCATTCAACATTCTCTAAGGACTAGAACTGAGCTGATCCTATATCAAAGTTGCTCCATCAATAAAGTCTTTCAACCATAGCATGGCTTCTCCAACTAGAAAGATAGTGGCTTTCTTCTCTTCCCTAACCTTCAATGAGCACTAACCACTGTTTCTGCAATCCTCAAGAAGAAATCTCTTTGCTTCAAAATCCATCTCTTGTCTCTATCCCATGGATGGCAGGAAACCTTGCTTCTTCTCCCTTCATCTCCATCTCTTTTACTCCACTAGCACCTTGGGGGTATTCTCACTTTAGGGCCTTGAACCTCTTGTTCTATTGGAATCCAAGATCTGACAACTTCACAATTGATCATCCTGCTAAAGGTGCATGGAGCATTGACTTTTTTTTATCAATATAACAAGAAACTTTATTAAAGATATGAAACTATGTGAAGCTTAGGTACAAAGGAGAGGTAAAAAGACTTAACACCCCACCAAAGAATACAAGGAAAAATAAAAAATTAACAGTCCTCTTCACCCAGTTGTAATGAACCACAATATCCCTACTCAGCCAGTTAAATTTATTCTTCTCATTGTTATAACTCCATAATCCGCTGCCTCCCCCCTTTAGCCACCTAATCACCACCTCCAAGTCACCTTCAAGAACCAAACATCTGATGTTCAACTCCCTTGCTCTTTGGATACCTTCCAGGGCTGCGAGGATCTCAGCCCTGAGAGTCTCCTTCCCCAATTGGGCTTGAGAACATAGCAATAATAGCCCCCACCTCATTCCTGAATATTCCCCCAATCCCAGAAGGCCCTGGGTTCCTTATACAGCTACCATCAAAATTCAATTTTATGAACCCAGAAGGAGGAGGGGACCACGAAGGACTACAGATCCTCTTACAGAGGGCAGAGGAGGCTATCTCCTTCCAATTTCTCACCACAGCAGCCACAGAATAATCTGAGAACAATTCCATAGTTTTCAACCAATGTGCCACCCTTAATAGGATTAGATCTAATAAGTTTCCAATGGTTCTTTCCTTTGAAAATATTCATGAGTTTCTTTCTTCCCATAGAGACCAACACATTGCAGCCCTAATGCTTCTCCACATAGTCTTCCCTCTCTTCTTCAGCCATCTGAAAAAAGAGGGAAAGAACAAGCTTTAGACACTCCTAGAGGGTATCCAAACACACCCAAAAAGGGAGAAGACCCACTCCCAAACTGATTTAAGAACCGAACAAGTGACCATAAGGTGGTAACCAGTTTACCCATCAGCTTTACAGAGAGTACATCTATTGGGAAGTAAACAAGAGTTGGGTCTCTTCTTCTGAAGTAGGTCATTTGTGTTAATTCTTTCCAGGAAAGTTTCCCAACAAAAACTACGAACCCGAGGAGGAATGGGCCTACTCCAAATTTCTTTAACCGGGAAAGACAACCCAATGGGATCAAAAGGCTGAGTTAAAGTCTCGAAAAATGAGGCACAAGAGAAAACACCTAAAGAGGAGGGAACCCAAAATCTGGTGTCCTCCTTAGAGGGATCCAAGAAGACATTTTCAATGATGGCTAATAAAGACAAAATGTGGTCCAAGTCTGTGTCCCTAATTGCCCTTCTCAGCCCTAGGTTCCACCCAAACCCTAAACGAGAGTCCGAGGGGGTTAAGGAAGAAATGGGTTCAGTTTTCAAATCAGAAAGAGCATACAAAGAGGGGAATTGGTCCATTAGAGGTGAGTCCCTGACCCAAAGTTGTTCCCAAAATTTTATTTTATTACCGGAGTTAAGACCATACCTAATACAAGGGGAGAATACTGGAAGCAATTCGTGTATGGCTAACCAAGGAGAAGTGGTTGTAGTCCTTGCCAAGATTCCAGGTTCCCAACCATTGTCTTCCAACCCATGTATGCTAGCCACAATCTTTGTCCACAACTTGTCTCTTTCCAACGAAAACCTCCATAACCATTTCCCCAACAATGCCATGTTCCTCTTCCTAAGATTCCCAATCCCAAGACCTCCTAGCTTTTTACCACCTCCCAACTCACACTATGGTCCCGCTTCTCTTCTCCAGGCTCCCACAAGAAATCCCTCATAAGCTTTTCCAAAGTGTTAGAGACCTTTGTAGGGATCTTAAACACTGATAGGAAGTACATAGGAAGATTAGCTAGGGTTGATCTAATCAAAGTGATTCTCCCCCCCAAGGAAAGATAATTTTTCCTCCAAGAGGCAAGCCTTTTCCCAAATCTCTCCACCACCGGGTTCCAAAAGCTTACCTTCTTAGGGTTATCCCCCRGGGGGAGGCCTAAGTAAGCCATCRGCCAWTCCKAGGTTRCACACCCTAASACATCTGCATACTCTCTAAGCTCCCTCTCCTCCAGATTCACACCCGCCAAACTACTTTTATCCAAATTCACCTTGAGATTGGATACCCGCTCAAAGAGTTGTATTGCCAACTTTAGGTTCCGGATCCACTCAATGTCCCCCACCTTCACAGAAAAGGATAGTGTCATCTGCGAACTGTAGATGAGTAAGAGGTATCTCCTCCCTTCCTACTCTCCATCATTTTATTAAATTCCTTGAATCCGCTCTCTGAATCAATCTCCCAAATACATCAGCAATCGGAGTGAATAGGAAAGGGGATAGTGGATCACCTTGTCTTATTCCTCTCGAGGCAAGGAAGAAATCCACCACAGTTCCATTCACCAAGATAGAGTAGTGGCAACTTCTAATATAACCCCAAATCCATTTACACCAGCTGTCTCCAAAGCCAAAACTTTTCAACACCTCCAACAAAAAGGACCAATCAACCAAGTCATAAGCCTTCTCCAAGTCCAATTTACACACCACTTTCCTCTTGGATTTCCTAAAGCTCTCCAGACTCTCATTTGCAATTAAGATTTGACCGGTAATTTGTCTTCCCATCACAAAATCACCTTGGTTAGGTGCAATTATAGAAGGAAGAACCTTCTTTAACCATAGAGACAACACTTTTGCGATTATTTTGTACAAACTGTTCACCAAATTAATAGGTCTGAAGTCCCTTGGTTGTGAAGCATCTTTCTTCTTAGGAACCAGAGCAATAAAAGTGAAGTTCAAGCCCGGGTTGATTATTCCCTTTCTGTGAAACTCCTCAAACACTGACCCAATATCTTCCTCCACAATACCCCAACAATCTTGATAAAAAGCCATTGTGAACCCGTCCGAACCTGGAGCTTTTGTTCTATCCTTTGAAAAGATTGCTTCCTTTATCTCCTCCAAATCAAATCTCCTTTCTAACCACTCTCTGCTTTCTGGACTTAAGAATCGGACAATCTAAACACTCCAACTAGATCCTTTCATTTAAAGGTCTTCTGAAAATAGATTTGAAATGGCCAACAAGGGTTTTTGCTATTTCTATCAAGTGGGAAATAACTGTTCCTTCTACTTCCAACTTTGAAATGAAATTCTTCCTTCTTCTACCGTTTGCCACTGAGTGAAAAAACCCAGTGTTTCTATCCCCCTCCTTCAACCATTTGCACCTAGATTTCTGCCTCCAACTTATTTCCTCCTTAATCAAAAGATCCTTCAATTGCTTCCTTAAACTTTATCTCCTTTCTCTGTCTTCTATCTTGCCAGCAAAGAGTCTCCTTAGTATCTCTGAATTTTTGTAAGGTGGCATCTCTTGATTTCTTCTTTGGGACTTGGGAAAACCCCATATTTGTTGTTTTGTTTGAATTTGTAGGCTCTGTATCTCTTTTACCCCTTGTATAATCCAATATGGACAATAAGCAAGACATGGAGTGAAGAAGATGTTAGATACAAAATATCTATCAAAAAAAAGATATTCGACACAAAACAAGTATCATTTGCTAGTTGCTACAAACCAATGCTTCAAATCATGTTCAAAATGTACTCTAGCTACAATCAAAATTACTAAACTTGTATTGAAAAATACAAGGATGATCATGGATCAAAAACAGAACCGGCACAACATCTTCAGTAAAGTATTTGGATTTATCTTAAAATAATCAAAAGGAATGTAGAAAAAAAGTCAAATGAACAATCAATCAATGCACACACACACATCCCACATGAAACAAAATTATGAAGTATGTAAAAGTGACTAAATTTGTTGCACCTCCACATGTCCCGCATGAAACAGATCGAATGCACCATCGATGTACACAACACGAGCATTTGGTCCTGGACCCTAAAATTATATCCAAGAAAAAAAAAGTGTCATTTCATCAAGAATCACACATGGTGAAATAATTAAGCAACAATATAAGTCATTGAAGCACTACCATAAAATAAAATGGTTTTAGTCCTATTGCAATCATAGAAATAGATTAGATTCTGCATCTTTAAGGTGGCTTCATAAGGGGATTTCCCTCATATTTAAATTTCAGATTCCCATGTCCCTCCTAAGATGGTCCTTACAGCTTGGACAGTAAGGCCAAGCAAATGTATGATTAAGGATAAGATTGCACATTAACCACAGAACTATGGGCACATTTTCTTGACATTTCTAGTTTGCTCAAAAGGTCTCCTTGGAAACCAGCAAACAATGGTACATTAGAAAACTTATTAAGAAAGGAAAGATCCTTGAGCCTTGAGAATATCATCCAACTTGCCTCTGTTTAGGTGGTACAAGGAGAGAAAAACTGTAGTTGAGAATACTCATAACACATGCAAAACCAAATTGTGTAAGGGACAAATAAATCAAATAACCAACTAAGCACTGGAACCAACATGCATCAATAAATACCGCACATTGTCATCACCCTACCTACAATTCCACTCAATTGGAGTATTAGCTGGATTAAATCCAAGATACCCTGTCTCTCTTAGACAAGGTCTAGGATTTTATAGTAAAGAAAATTTTCATTAAAAGAAAAAGGCACAAGAAAAGGTAATAAGTAGTCACCCGAAATAGGAACAGCCAAAATAAAACAAATTAAACACCCCTCAATCATATACCAAAATATAAATCTCATACAGCAAGGACTTGTAGCGCCCAACAACACACAAAACCAGCCTAATCCCCCCCCCCCATGGATTCCACACCACTATCACAAGATCATTTAGAATTCACTCCTCTTCTGCTGCATCATCAGGCTAAAAATACAGTTAGTTAGCAGCATCTCCATCCATCTTCTCCAAATATATAAAAGCTTTTGTCCATCAACAAAAAAGACTATACAAGATTTTCTTGCAAATTCATCACCAACTAAGATAAAAGGACCAAATGTTTGACTCAATTGAATTCCCCTATCAATTACCTTTTCCAAGTCAATCTTCTTCTATAGCTGTCCAACTTGGTCAACAATCACCTCTAAATCTTCCTTTTGCATCTCAGTAACTTCTTCAAAGTCTTTTCCCAGTTCTTCTACAACTATATTCTCAGAAGCAACCACAGAGAATTCTAAAATCACTCCTGTTCCAACTTTAATAAAGTAAGAAAAGGTGAAGAAAAGGATAGGAGAAAGAAAGAGAAGAAGATAGGAAGGGAAAGGGAAGGGAAAGAGAAGAAAAGAGGGAAGACGAGAAAGGAGAAATCTGTTCACCTCTCCTTACTGTCAACCCAGGTTGTAATAACATTCTACTAATGTTGAAATGACTACAATACTCTCAGGAAAATTACAGCAGATACAAGAGAGAAAGAATAACATGAAAAAGACAATATTGCTCCTGTTAACTACTTCTAACAATTCTGACACTCCCCCTCAAGCTGGAGCATATATCATAAAGTTCCAACTTGTTACAAATATAGTCCACCCTTGAGCGACCCACACTTTTAGTAAAAATATCAGCTACTTGGTCTTCAGATTTAACATAGGGAGTAACAACCTCTCCACTTGTCACTTTCTCTCTCACGAAATGGCAATCAACTTCAATGTGTTTAGTCCTTTCATGAAACACTAGATTAGATGCAATATGTGTTGCAGCTTGGTTGTCACAAAACAATTTAATGGATTGACAAATTGTGATATTCATCTCCCAAAGAAGATGCTTCAACCAGACTAGCTCACAGGTAGCACAGACCATTGCCATGTATTCATCTTAGTGCTACCCCTAGCAACTACATCCTGCTTCTTGCTCTTCCAAGTAATGAGATTTTCGCACAAGAAAGTACAATAACCTGTAGTAGACTTCCTGTCCATCGAAGACCCTGCCCAATCTGCATCTGAGTATCCTACCAGAGACACATCTCCCCCTTTTCTTATACAAAATCCCTCGACCAAGAGCACCCTTTAGATACTTCAGCACCCCTCATAACACCATCCCAATGAACAGTTGTTGGATTCTGCATGAATTGACTGAGGACCCTAACACTAAAGGATATGTCAGGCCTAGTGATGGTAAGATAGATCAACTTGCCTACTAGTCTCCAATACTTTGTAAGGTCTTCTAATGGCTCCCCCTGACAATCAGTCATCTTCACATTGGGATCCATGGGAGTTTCAACTAGTTGGGATCCTAACAACTCGGTTTCATCCAACATATCTAAAACATACTTTCGGATAGAAAGACTCCCCAATTCGATCGAGCTACCTCAAATCCAAGAAAGTACTTCAAGGTTCCTAGATCTTTAGTTTGAAAGTGTTGCTGTAGGAACTGTTTCAACTCATCAATTCCATGTGTATCATTGCCAGTGAGAACAATATCATCAACATACACTGCTAGAATGATCTTCCTAGATGACGAGTCTCTACTAAATAGAGAGTAATCAACACTACATTGTTTCAAGCCAAAATCTTGCACCACACTACTAAAACGACCAAACCATGCCTACGATGATTGCTTCAACCCATAGATAGCCTTCTTCAATTGACACCTTTCCTGACTCCCCTTGAGCAACATACCTAGGAGGTTGCTCCATATATACCTCTTCTTGAAGATCACCATGGAGAAAAACATTTTTTTTTACATCAAGCTGAAATAGGAGCTAACCAAAGTGGGCAACTAAAGAAATGAGCACTCGTACAGAACCTATTTTAGCCACAGAAGAGAAGGTTTCTGAATAGTCCACACCATAGGTCTAAATATACCCATTTGCAACAAGTCAAGCTTTGAACCGCTCAATATTGTCATCTTGACAGTGTTTAACTGTATATACCCATCGACAACCAACGGCCTACTTCCCAAGTGGTAAGGAAGTGAGATCCCATGTATTATTGGACTAAAGTGCATGAAATTCTTCATCCATCGCCTTCTTCCAGTTAGGAGATGAGAGGGCCTCCTGTAGAGAACACGGTAGAGAAACAAAGGATAGAAGGGAAATGAAACATTGATGTGAAGGAGACAATTGAGCAAAGGAGGCATACCGAGCAAAGGGGTGATCTGTGCAAGTACGCTTACCTTTACGAAGGGCAATAGGAAGATCAAGGTTTGAGGATGGTGGATTTGTCAATGGCAAAGACTTTGGTGGCATGTTAGAAGCTAGAGTTGGATCAACTACTGGCAACAATTTTGGTTGTCTATCATGTCTAGAGTACACTCTGTGAATAGATGGTCGAATAGGCTCCTCCAAAGTAGGCAAGGGAATAAAGACATCACCAGATTCAGAGGGAAGAGGAATAGAAGGAGAAGGTTCACGTCCAGAGAAATAGGGTAAACTCTCAAAGAAGGTAACATCTGGAGTAACAAAAGCTTTTTGTAAAACAGGATCATAGCAGTTATAACCTTTTTGAGTACGAGAGTAACCATGAAAAACTCATCTAATAGCTTTGGAGTCAAGTTTATCATGGCCTGGAGGCCCTGGACCCAATTTGTGAACAAAACACACACAACCAAACACACGAGAAGGAAGAGAGAAAGGCGAGGTGGAAGGAAACAAGATAGAGAAAGGTGATGCGCCATCTAGGACTGAACAAGGCATACAGTTTATGAGAAAACAAGAGGTGAGAACTGCATCACTCCAATAGATTTTAGGAACTGACATTTGAATCAACAAGGCCCGACCAGTTTCAATCACATGGCGATTTTTTCTCTCAGCCACACCATTTTGCTAAGGAGTGTGTGAACATGAGGATTGATGTACAATACCATGCGAGTTAAAATAAGACCGAAAATTATTATGAAAGTATTCCTTGGCATTATCTGAACGGAACACTTTAATGCATACACCAAACTGATTCCTTATCTCAACATGAAAAGATAGAAAAATAGAGAACAATTCTAAATGATCCTTCATTAAGTAAATCCATGTCATTCTTGAAAAGTCATCAATAAATGTTACAAAATATATGAATCCATTATAAGATGACACATGACTAGGACCCCAAACATCTGAGTGGACTAAAGTAAAAGGACTCAAGACTCTCTTATCATCTCTAGGAACAAAAGACACTCTATGATGTATACTCAACTAACATGACTCACAATCTAACTGAGTTACGAACTCCAAGGTTGGGACTTGCTTTTTCAAAACACATAGAGAAAGATGACCAAGAAGACAATGCCACTGATGTGGTGTAAGAGATGAATGAAGAGCCTTCTAAGGACCATGGTCATCCAAGTAGTACAGTCTTCCAACCTTACGATTGCCACCAATCGTCTTCCTCGTCTTGAGATCCTGAAGACGCAATACGAAGGATAAAATGTTACTGAACAATGACGGGTTTGAGTAAGCTTACTTACAAACAAGAGACTAAAGGAAAACTTAAGAACATATAAGAACATAAAAAACCGAGCGTAAACTAAGGTCAGTACCATTAGCTAAGGTAACGGTTTGAGAAGTAGAAGGTGGTGACAAGGATACAAACATATTTGAGGAGCCAATCATATGGTCTGAAGCTCCAGAATCAATTACCCAAGGTGAAGGTGAAGAACTAGAAGCAAGACAAGCAGTACCTGACTTCACAAGTGTAGCAATGGTAGAACTAGAAGAGGCAAACTGGCGAATCTTTTCATACTCCTCGCATGAGCTAGAAATTGTGTCTTTATCCTTACCAACTTTGGAAGGAGTATCTTCAGTCACACTAAGACTCCCAAAATCACCTTCCACCATTACTTGGTTAGCCCAAGAAGATGGAAGGCCATGAAGATCATAACAAAAGTTGACTGTGTGACCTTCTCGTCCACAATGTGAGAACTCACGGGCTGAATCACAGCCACTACCACTACAACCACCACCAAACTCTCTACCACCTTCCCGTACACCTCTAGGCCCACGGCCAAAACCCCTCACATTTCCTTCACCTCTACCACACATATGTCTACCAGGAAAACCTCCTCTGGAAACCACCATGGCTGATCTCTCTAAAGGTGGGAGATGATCACTATGTGGATTTGAGGCTCTCCTTATGCGAGAGAAGACCTCAGACAATGATGGAAGATCACTGCTCCCTAATATTTGAGCCTGCACTAGTTCAAATTCAGACCTCAACCCAGATAAAAATCTTACTACATCTTGTTGTTCTTGTTGTTCTTGTTGAGTCTTCAAATCAATGGATAGGGGTTGACAAACATTGAGCTCATTCCTTAAGCTTTTTAGAGAAGCATAGTATTCTTCAGCACTTTTGTCCCCTTGTTGAAGAGAAAAATAGTCTTGGTACAACTGGTAAATTCTTGTGGCATTGTCTTGTCCAGAGTACAATTGCTTGGCATGGTCCCAAATCTCCTAGGTCGTATCTAGAAACATAAGGTTTACACTAATGTGATTCTCCATACTATACCGAAGTGATGTCATAATTTGGGCATTCTCTTGTACCCATTCATTGTACTCTTCTGATTCACTTTTCAATGGACCCTCCTTGATGTACTTCAACTTGCCTCTTGCAAAGAGAGAGACCTCAACCAACTTGGCCCATGGGATATAATTAGTACCATTGAGTTTCACCGTAGTTAATTGAGAAGTCATGAAATCTGATTGCACAACTACTGTAGGTTTAGTGCTACCATTTGATGAAGCCATGAGTGAGAGTAGATCACTGATTTGTCACCTAGGCAAACTATCAAACAGCTGGTATGAAACTACTGTAACACACCTTTTTCTTTAGGAAAAACACCAAGAATCATCAGCCCTCTACCTTAGAAACACTTGGAAAAGATTGCATACTTACCACAAGAGGTGTCACTACAACACAAACCACCACAAGATCACCACACATTGAGGAGCACCTACCTCACAACTCGAAACATCACAAAGCTGCTCTCTTCGAACTATCGAATAGAGGGCTTTTAGAAAAACACCACCAACTCACACAACACTGCAACTTGAGGCATTAAAGCCTCTTTTCCAAGTGGGCGATCAGTCCTCTTAAGTCCTTTTCCTTTCCAACAAAGAATAGAGAATATTCTCTATTCCTAGGGCACAAAAAGTTAAGACGTGAACAGTGCCGCAAACAGTACAGTCGACCTTAAGGCTCTGATACCATATTCCAACTTTAATAAAGTAAGAAAAGGTGAAGAAAAGGATAGAAGAAGATAGGAAGAGAAAAGGGAAGGGAAAGAGAAGAAAAGGAGAAGAAAAGAAAGAAGACGAGAAAGAAGAAATTTGTTCACCTCTCCTTACTGTCAACCCAAGTTGTATTAAAATTCTACTAATACTGAAATGACTACAATACCCTTAGGAAAATTACAGCAGATATAAGAGAGAAAGAATAACATGAAAAAGACAATACTATCCCTATTAACTACTTCTAACAATTCTGACAACTCCAATAGACACACCATCCAAAATTCCAAATACTGTTGCACATGATCAAATATCAAGCTTTTGCCTACATTGGAGATCTAGAATTTACTTTGAGAAACTACATTACATGGATACTTACAAGGTATCAGACTCGGCAAGCTCAAATCAAGCTTAAATAATGGGATAATTGTTGAAAGAGAAGAAAAAAAAAGATTAAATGTACAGTTCAAATAACACTAAAAAAAGCAAAGATAGATTATACTAAATTGTCAAGTATTATAAATTTACCATCTATCTATAAATGTTACTCTAGTTTAATGTTCCTTTTTCACATATTACAGATATGATAGAGAAGAGTCCCCTCAAAAGCTCTAACTGATTCTAAATTTGGCTTTTATGGTAGTTATTGGTAATAAAAGAAATGTCCTCATTATGGCCATGAAGAAGGGTAATTGTTGATGATGATGATGAAGAAGCTATCAAGCTAGTCTGAAAGGAAGTTTGACTTGGGTCCATACCCATATTATGTACCCCATCAAACTGATGTCCTTCTAAAGGATTGAGTAACATAAACAACTCAAAGGTTGCTTTGAGAGGTCAGAATTTAAATTTCATGAGACAGCTCAAGAATATATCACCGCTTCACCAATCACCACTGAAATTTTTGAGATTACAAAAATTGTGTATTTCTACTTCCCACAATACTCCACAAGAAAAAGGCATGGACAGCATTAGCATCTAGTGCAAATGCATGTATAATGTGTATACAAAGAACTATAGACACAATCTAATGAATACATGAAACAAATTATTAGTGTTTCTACCATTGCACTTGAAGTTATACATAGATACCTTTCCATTTGAGAATTGCACAATCCTCCTAGACGTAGGTAGAAAATGAGATATTTGGGCTCCACCAGATTGCCTTTCTTCAGCTTTAGTGTTATTCATGTTATTGGCATGTTCAGACAGAGTATTGTCGAAACATTCATTACCAGCTTTTATATCCTTCGCAGAAGAAAGTATCCTCCCTAATACAAAACATTCAGAGACTTAATTGCAATAACAGGAATAGGATGGTGATGCAGGATGGACCTTCAGGTTTGGGGAAAAAAGAATAAAAATAACCTAGAATCAGAACTTAAGCTTCTCTACAAATCAGCACTTAAAAGAACTAATAGGAACCACTTCAACATTAGAAGTAGAAAACTCAAAACTTCCTTATTTGATGTCAAAAAAGAGAAGTATTTATATATTTATATATTTATATATTTATAAGCATAGAGGGGATGGTTGGTCACCCCTTTTCCTTTGTTTTCTATTCTAAAACTTATTAAGAAGCACTATGAACATAATAACTTGGAATTTGAAACATCCTAGTTGAGACTAGGACTTTTGACTTGAGGCAAATCCTAGTTGACTTAAGGGCCATTTGGTAACAGCTGAAGTAGCTGAACTGAATTATTGATTTGTATTTTAGTGGATAAAATAATTAAATATTAAATTGGATAAATTACAGACAGCCACCTTATACTTTGGGGGTAGTGAGTACTGAGTAGTGACACTTAGCCCCCTGAACTTTGTCTTGCAACAAAGACCCCCCCTGAACTCTTGGATTCCAGCACATTGCTCTCACCATTTGCATACTGTGAGTTAACTTCACCATTTTGCCCTTTTAACTTAGTTTTTCTAAAATCCAAACACTCACATGTTTCTCTCAACTTTGTTTCAACAAAGATCATCTTGAGAACAACTTGTGCTTTAGAATGGTTATTTTCATCATTTTGATATTTATTTGTTGCTGCCCTAGAATCTCAAATGGGCTATTTAGTAATTTTACTTTCACCATCAACCCCTTTAGTGGTAAGGGAGCTAACTGTGGAATCTAGAAGTTCGGGGGGAGGGGGGTTGTCACAAAACAGAGCTCAGGGGGACAAGTGTTACTACCTCCTAAGTACAGAGTGCTTATCTGTAATTTCACACTAATAAATTATTTGAGGGTATAGGTAGCAACCTATCTTCACTACAGCCATTAAGGAGCCCATAACAACACAAAGCAATAATTCTTTAAGTTCAGCTGCTACTAAATGGCTCCTTAGGACCATAAATAAGGCAAACACAACTTGCTTTATAACTATGACAATGACTTCTAAAGTAACTTTTAATCTAATTAGGAAAACAAACTCCTGACATAACTAGGAAAACCAAATCCTAATGCAATTAGGAAAACTACTACTTACTCAAAAAGATCTTCTAAAGAATTATAGAAATAGGCCTACTATTTACAAATTACATAAAAATTCAGAAAATCCCAGATTTGGCTCAGTAGATCCCGCATCAGTTAATTTGGGATGTATATAAACAGTAACATATAACACTTCCTAATAATTATAGACAGCAAAAGAGGCAAAAGTAGAAGAATTATTATAGTACCTACAATATCAGTGCTTGAGACACCTTCAGTACGCTTGATCTGCTTGTAACGGCCTGCTTTCTTTGCCAGAGCATAAGCATCAGTTCCATCTGGAAGCAGGCAAGGATCATCACCATGTATAATGTAGTCAATCTTATGTTCATTGAACAGTTTATCCATGAATTTCTCGGTAATTGCATAAGGAGCATTGGTAATGACTTCATCCACCCACTTCAATCCACTAACAAGTGTGAGCCTAGAAATAATATTAAATTAGATCAGAAATAGTAGTATAATCATCTCTCCTATTACAGTAATATCCAATTAATAAGGTCCTATAGTAGAAATTTACTTAGCCCAGCTTTTAGTGATCACCAGAGCTACACTCCTTAGCTGAAAAGGTAAAAATTTAGATGACAAACGACCACCATCCCTACCCATGGAATAGAGGTGGCACAAAATGCAGCGATGCAGGACTAACCAAAAAGAGAATGGGTAACCCAGCTACATAAACGAACCCCTCGCTTGTTAACTTATCATCTTTACCAAAAAAAAAAATCCACAAATTTTGAAGGAGCTGCATTTATTAAACCCAATCAGAAAATACTGGGTGACTATCCAAACAATCATTTTCTTTTCTCTGTATGGTTTTATGATGATTAAGGAGAATTGACATAATGTTTTCATGTTCGTTTGCTCTGCATCTGTTGGTAAATATAGTTCCAGTTCTTCCCTGAAAGAGGAAAGAGAAAGATATAAATTCTAAAAGTTCAACCTATGACCCCAAACCTCTAACTGGAACAAGATTTAGAGTTAATGACATTTTGAGACATGTTCTTACTGGAAATACAAATTATTTAAGGAAAAAAATATTTAGAAAGGCAAAATAAATTCACTGAACAGTAAGAACCTCAACCACCACCACCCCAAATAAAAAAGAAATTTAAATATCTATCAAAAAATTAAATATAAGTTTCTTTCAATTAAAAAGGAAAAAAAAAACTGGAATAAATGCATAAAAAGACAAACGTTTGGATACCTCTCTTCCATGGACAAAACAGGAGGACCCTTGTTGGCTATGATCTCCTCATCACTCACAACTCCTACCACCAATATGTCCCCCAAAGCCTTCGCCTGCCTCAACGCGTTGGCGTGACCATAGTGCATGAGATCGAAACAACCATCCATGTAAACTCTTATGGGTTTCTTCCTGTATTTCTTCTTATGGAAGACCTCCATATGTGGCCAAAGGTAAGGCAAAGAAGGAACGCCAATTTTACCAAAATAGCTCGATGATATCCCAAGAACAGCAGCCGTGAGCATTATCCCTCCGAAAAGATGCGAGTAGTAGCCGACCCCATCCCAGATCCAATTGTTGCTTTCAAAGTCCATTGATCCCATTCCCTCCCCTTCTCAGATTTTTTCAGCTCCCTTTGCCCTCACCAAGGAGGCCCAACTCTTGCAATCGATGACACTGCCGAAGGAAACAAAAATAAATAAATAGCATAAAAAAATTGATGAAGCACAGTACTAAGTTTATCCCGGTTAGATCATGAAAAATTGCTAATCGAAATTTAAGAAATGAATCACTCCATCAAGTCGATATGCTCGAGAAAACGGAGAAATCCGGCAGAAATAAGGGCATTGTATGCACCTGAAATATCACCGCCATCAAGAACATGCTCTAGAAAATTAGGTGTCATTTGGAAAAATTACGAAATTCGGGGAAAAACAATGCACAGTAGAAAAATCCCAACACCAAAAACCCATCTGAAATCCAGACCAACAACGCTGGCTTGTTGTTCTGGGATGGAGAGAGATGTAGAAACAACACCTTTTCCAGATACAATCTCTTTTTTTTTTTTTTTTTTTTTTTACAAAACACAAGTCCCAAACTCCGAATCAAACGCAGCAAACCATTTGAATTTCGGAATAAAAATGTATACAAAACAGAAAATGAATACCTATCTCTTCAAGATGGAAAAGAAAACTTTGAAAACAATGAGCTGGACTTCTGATTCCATGATCTATCATTGAATTTGTCGCCCCTATAACCAGATTAACCGCAACGGAAAAAGGGTTTGTCAAATGAATCTCACCTCCTCGTGGGTGTGTCCCTCGGCTTCACACGCCCGCCTTGATTGCAAGGAGTCCCCTGGTGTGTGAGAGCTTTGAAAAATATAGAATTCCCTCTTTTATACTTTCTATTTCTGCATTTTTCTCCTTCCTTTTACTTGTGCTATACGAAAGTGATCTGGGCACACGCATTTTACACAGACAAGCATTTTACAAACAACTTTATCAATGGTGAAACCATGTTCGAAATGATAATACAGGTAGAACCGACAACTGAGTCGGCCGGGTCGGGATCGAGTTCGATTTGTGCAAATGTAATTTCGGATCATTCCTGGCCGGGTCAAGTTTCAGGTTGGATCAACAAAATGCTAGACCCTAATCATAAAATATTCAAGTTAGGATTGACTCACTGGTCAGATGGGTAAGAAACTAAGAATGGCGATAAGGCGGGTTCAAGGCCAAGCACCTCTTCTCCATCCCCACCTCGTCCTCAAAGTCCCTTACCCCATCCCTACCCTGCCCCTGGTGGCGAGGCAGGTTTGGGTTGAGACACCCTGTTTTAGTTGGAAATTGGAAATTCCTAAAATTTCTTCACCTTGAGAAAATTACCTAAAAATACATAAAAATGTAGGAATATTTTAGAAATAGAACTATAGGAAATTGAAGGTACTTTAAATATGTGATTATGGATCCTAGGTTTTTTAAAATTTGAAAATAAGTCGGGTATTTTAAAAATTAATATTAAACTTACAAATATTTTAATAGTTTATTATTGGATTTGGAACAGGTTAGAAGAATTATATGCAAATCTCATTCCTGTCATGTTCCTTGAGCAAAAATATTTTCCCCATCTCAATTTAAAATCGAGAAAAGCCCACCCCATTTGGGACGGGGTGGGAAAAGACCCCGGATTTACAAAGAAAATTGCCATCTCTATGGATGGGTCAACACAATTTCAATCACCCAGGTCAGCTAGCCTTTTAACCAAGTTAATTGTTTTTATCAAAAATACGGGCTTAACCATCCGATTTGAACAGTTTGAATGGTTCAACCATCTCAAATCAACACTGGCTTGAAAATGCTGGTTTGAAAAGAGGTAACCCGGTTATGACCTGTGACCTGACCTTACCCGTAGGACGACTTTGCGCCAAGACTGACTAGAGGATATTTTCCTCTTGTTGTGTGATAACACTTTTTTTATTAAAAATTGGATGTGCCCAAATCATTGTGTATGGGGTCTCAAAATTATTATTTTTGTGACATCCTTATTTTCCAACAAAAAAACAATCTGTTTCTTGTCAAATCATGACCTGTAATTCACATCTGTGAATCCTCCCCCCAAAATAATATATTAAAAAACAATAAAATTTGATGTCTGCTTGCAACTAGAGTTTTGAAAATGGTGAAGGATGATGGCTCATTATGAGACCAATTACAATTAGGCTTCTTTAGATGGCCCCACTTATTTTTGCCACTTGGACAGATGATGTGGGCCAATACAATGGATATATAGATGGACCCATTAGCTCATCGTATATATAATATAATATATACCACATTAGCAAACCCCTCCTGTCTCTCTAGGTTGAAACCTCCAAACCAAGATCATGTACCAAAACCAGTCAAATAAAGATCACAAGTCACAACTCCCCAATGAGGAATTACATTTTATTCCCAAAATATTTTATTTTCATAGACCTTCTAGACCTGGAATAGTATACTTGTTTGGAAGTATTCAACAGCCAGAAACCTCCAAACAAAAAGGTTTTCTCAAATTTTGTGCATGGTTTATTAATTAAATATACATAAATATGGCCAGCCTCCTCCACTGCCTAAAGTTGTCTAAAATCTACTTTAAAATATAAACATTTGCATGTTAGTTTTGTCATATAAAAGCAACAAAATATAAATATCGGGAAGGTAAACTGGATTAAGTAAAAGTCATGGGGAGAATAGGATACCATTCTAACAAAAGCTTACATAAGAAATGCTAAATTATTCTGACTTGATGTTCCACAGACAACATCCGATTCCGAGGTGGAATAATTTAAGCAAATCTTGGATGATATTAAAGTTGAAGGAAGCAGGATCCAGTGATAGCAAGTTAAGCAAATCTAATCAAAGTTAATTGTCAGCCGCCCCTATTCTTATAAGGTTTTATTCTTTTATTCTGCTTTGAATGTCTCATGTGTTAAAAAGCAAAACTTTTGGGATCTTAGATTGTTATTTTAGGTTGTGTTTGGTTTGAAGGAAAAAGTACGGAAAGGCAGGAAAATCCATACAAGGTTTGGGAAGGTTCCTTTACCTTTTTCTTTGGTTGTGTTTGGTTTGAAGGAAAAAGTAAGGAAAAGAAGGAAAGACGTAAGTTTCCCTACATTTCCCTTCCTTTTCCTTCAAACCAAACATAGTATCTATTTCCCTATTTTTTCCTTTAAACCAAACATAGCCTTAATATCTCTTATTTTCAAACATGCCCCTAAAATGCTTTTCACACATTTTGTTCGTTATTTATAATATTAACCCATTCTTACTATACTCTTCAAATTGTATAATTAATAATATTAAAGTATTATTTTAATATTATTGCTATGATTTTAATAATAATAATATTAGGAATTATTATTTTATTATTAAATATTATTTATTTTGATAGAATAATATTAAAAATAAAATAGTACTAAATTATTGTTTTCCTATTATTTTAATTTAATATTATGTTGTTATTTCATTTTTACTTTTGTTATTCTAATCAATATTATCTTTTTTTTAGAATGTAAGGTAAAAATTTTATTAAAAGCACAACAAAAGTATACAAGTTGTATACAACGGGGGCCACAATAAGCCTCTACAAACTCAAACTCCAAGACATAAGAGACCTTTGGAGGCCTCTTCAAGCCTATACAAAGACAAACACCAAGTAGCACACACAAAAGAGAAAAGCAACCTAACTAGGTATGTGTTTGCTTCCATTTATGTTTTTTTCATTCAATGCTTGTACTTTATTTGCTTGTAAAACTGAGAAAGGTAATAATTACAATTGTTTATAACAACTAGGCGCCACTCGGCACCATATCAGCATAACAATGAAAAAATGCCTAATTATTTGTGGAATCTTTAAAAAATAACTTCCCTAAACAGTAGACGTGCACAAAAACCGAAGTCTACTTTTGTCATTCCCAATATATACGGAAGAGCAAGAAAGGGGAACTGCTGAAGTGACACCTATGTGGCAACGTTTATTGAATAAGCACCCACGAAACCAAACACCCTCTAGATTAAAAACTCCCAACTACAAACTGAACTAACTCGATGCAAGAGGAGAAAAGGATGGGTTCCACATTTACATAGGAAATCTAAGATAAGGCTACAGAGATTCCTCTACCTCGCCTAAGTCTTCCTCTTACACTTCTCACATTCCTATTACCTTTCAAGCCCCTCCATTGATTTGCTACCTTTACATCATAAAACATTTCAAGGTGCTTTTACTTCCTCCTATTTGTCAATCAGGTTTGGACACTTCAACTACAAGGGAAAATTTTGATTATGGAACAATATTTCACATTCAAATATTAAATAAAATAATAAAAGGCATCAATTTTCAAAGTACTTTCTTTTAAAGTCTTTTTACATTTCTATAAAGGTGTAACTGGGCAGGCACAACCTAAGCCTAGATCAAGCTGGCTTAGCTTAAGTTTAGGATTTTTTTCGGGTTAGGTTTGGGCTTAGCCTTTAGATAGCCTAAACCCAGTTTGATCTCATTCCAACTATGTACTTATAGATTTTTGCATATATAGACACACATTTGTATGCATACATGCATATACTCATATTTTTGGGTAAATCATATAAGTGCTTACATATATACATTCATTTCAAATTTTAGTTTGGGTTGACTGACTAACCTGTGCTCAGTCCAGACTTGAGCCCAATTAGAGTGCATCAAATTTCAATGTGGGTTGAGTCAGGGTTGGAAAATTTAAGCTTGACCTTGAACTTAGACCTTATGCTTAATTTTTAGGGTTGAACCTAGGTAGGGGGCATTCGAATTCGGTTATCAAACCAAAAATTGAACTGAATAAGCTACTTTGATTTTGTTAATTTGGTTTTCATTTCAGTTCATTTTGAGAAAAAAAAAACAATTGAACCGAATTGAAAATCGAAGTAACCAAAATACAATACATATATTCATATTTTAATTATAAATATTCATATTGATATTAACATTATATTTATAATAATAATAAAATATAATATTATTTTAATTATATATTTTAGCTAACCAAATTAACCGAATTAAAATTGAACTAAATTGATTGAAACTTGGTTTGATTCCATGTTATATTTTGTTCGATTTAGTTCATGAAAATAACCTAACTGAAATATCAATTATGTTCTATTTCTGAACCGAACTGGCTGAATGAACACCACTAGGCCTAGGTTGAGCTAAAACCCAGCCTAGTTCGACTAACTTACACCCCTACTTTTTCAAGCATTAGACTTCAAACCAACAAATACCTAAGTGCCATGTAGTCATGTTTACCCATGTCTAGGGTGCAACTTTGTTGAAGTGTTTGGGTTGAAAGTCTTGTGGGTTACAGTTAGGGTTGGAAAATATGAATTTGGCTTATGTTCAAGTTGGACTAGGGTTAAGGTATTAATCAATCAAGCCCAAGTGCCCAACACAAACCCAATATGTGTTTCATATTTGCATACATAAATATCACATAAACATGTATGTATGTATGTATGTATATACATCTATACATATCATCATCATCATCCAAGCCTTATCCTAATTATATGGGATCAGCTACATGAATCTTGTTTTGCCACGTTAGGATCCATGTCATGAGAGTTTAGCAAGCTTTAGTGTTGGTTGCCAACTTAGCGCAACCTTGCTTTATCTGTATTTAAGACCTGCATTGTAAAGCAAATTCACAATACTCCTAAAGCATCATAACTTCATCCTTCCATATACAAATGCTGAAGCTAACCTTAATTACCTAGTCCAAAGTCTAAGTGGGAACATATACTATTATTAAAAGTGTGAATGATAATGCATAACTTTTGTTTGGCTAAAATACTCAATTTCTGGTCCCTCTCTAATTGTAAGGACATAAATGTAATTTGAACAATAATTTTTCTTTTCATTTAAATCCCTCTCATTAAGTCTTATATTTAAGGTAT